AGTCACCTAACACAACTTGTGTTGAAATTAGCCCGATCTGGGCGTGCGTTTAACGAGGATTTTTTTTATTTTTTGCGTGGTTTTGATTCGCCGAAATTGACAGATGTTATACCTGCCGCGCTCCTGATCGTTAGTTAAAACCACAGGGAGAATTAATTTTAATTCTTAGCAGCGGCGGTCGCATTGGTTGTGCAGCAGTCCACTGCACAACCACTAATTAACCAACTAATTAACTTCTGCACCTTTATTTCCTCAAATAAACTGCTGGCTCCTCTTTTTAGACGATAAACAGATTAACACAACATTGACAACTCTGTAGTTTTCTCTGTTCTGTACTGCAAACTGGAATTAAAGGCGCCATTTCTACCAAAGGTCTGGACAGACTGGCCACCTGTCTAGGGTGTACCCCGCACCAGCACCTCCCGACCCCACTAAGGGACAGGGTGTACAGAAAATGGAAGGATGGATGGATTTCTACCAAAGGTTGATAATGCGTTTTTGAACCAGATGCTTCAAAGCGCCCTGTCCATAACTCTTCAACACACTGTCAGCTCCCTCTGTCAGTCAACCTATATAAATTCATTTTTGACCATTATTGCAAGTTTGACAAAATAAAGCATATCAAACTTTGCACATGTGTGGCTTAGTGAATTGTTTTTAATCCAACTGAAATATTTGATTTTCTAGTGTGATGCAGACACTAAATATGCCAAGGGCTGAAGCCCTTGAAAGACATCTCCCTTTGCTTAATAAAAGACTCCAGTCATTTTGTTTGGTGATATGCTCACATCTTATGAACAAATGCATTATGTAAATTTTAAATGCATTATTTTTGCAAGACACATTTATAAAGGAATAAAGTAAAAGATTAAATAGCCTTTTTTTAAGTAGCATACTTAAGATATGTTTCTGTTGAATACGAATCTCAGATTTCCGACATGTGTCCCCCCCAATAGTAAACATATTCCTACGCCCTTGTGTATATTATAAATTTAAAATTTAAGTGTTGACCTCTACCCATTCCTTTTTTTTGGGACTTGTAATTCTACTAATTTATATTTTTGTATTTGTTTACTGACCAGTTTGACATTTTGTATCCTGAGGAGTTCTTTATTGAAATGTCCAAATACAAATTTCATTCATTCATTCATTCATTCATTCATTCATTCATTCATTCATTCATTCATTCATTCATTCATTCAGTGTTTGTCTCAATGTGTTTTTCTTTGATGGGGTGGCGAACTGTTCAGAGATGATCCCACCTAGGATGTTTGAGATATGAAGATACCAGCCTCCCATGATGGATGACAGTATGAAGAATGGATGGATGGATGGATGGATGGATGGATGGATGGGTCGATGGATGGAAGATTTATCCATTTTAAGTGAAGAATGAACAGGGACACATATTGTTAGATTTAACCAAATCCTCCTTCGATCATGAGAGCATTGTCAGTTGAACATGGGTAGATCATCCAGGGTCCTGGGTCGTTCTCATCCCAAACCGTTCTGTCAATGAAGGAGGGGCTCCTGAAAAAACATCTCATGGTCTCCAGACCTCAAACCCAGGAGTTAAGATACTGCATTGCTCAGCGACAGCACCAAACCATCTCTTGTCTAGAGGAGATTTGATGGAGGACTGTATTTGCTTGTATTGGTTAACACAAGATTAGATCCCAACCTCACTTCCTCCTTAAGGAGCCCTTTTTTACTGATCTTAATTCTGCTCCAGAAATCCTCTTTAACCAAATTTCATACAAGCTGTGCTGACATCATTAGTTTGTTTCTGTTCTGTCTTTAGTCCCTCGGTTGTGTCTCAGCTCCACAGAGCTACATCAGTCTGACTCCGCTTCTATTTGTTTCTGTCATGTCTTCCTGATGTTTGCTGCTGTCAGACCTGTTTCAGCTGTTAGCTGCATTCATACCTGCCTCTTGACTGTCTAAAACCGAACGGATACATTTAGATTTTTGCTTTTCACATCTGATCAGAAACTTTTGTTTAAAGGCTTTATTTGGTAAATTACATTTTAATCTAATCCTTGGTTTGAAATAAAACCCCTCGAAAAATCAAAACTGCAGAGTTGATGTGGAGCTTTGTGATATTAAAACAAGCCTGCTTGTGTATTTTAAGGCAGCGGTTTTGCAGTGATGACAGGCTGTTCTCCTCTTGTTTCTTTTTCATCTGCACCAGAACTTGAAGGAAACCAAAGGTGTAAGACTAACATTCTTTCTTTCACTGCGAGGAAGAAAAAGGTGTAAAAGTTCTGCTGAAAGATGAAAAAACAAGGAAAGGCCTTCTGTCTAACTTCACCATCAGCCCAAACAGTGTTTCTTAGTATAATAAAGCCAATGTGGAATCAGTGATTGGGCCAAACAGAGCTGCTCTGAACTCCCGGCCTCAGTCGCAGTTACCTGCATGTAATCAGCGTGCCAGCTGAGGCTGCAGCCAACACAAACCTCGGCACCATCACTCGGACCCTGCAGCTGCTCCATCGGGTCGACTGCATCAGCACCGGCCCGCATCTGATCAGCGACAGGTTTCTAATATCCAGTCACTTCACCTCATCCATCATCTCCACGTTCTGATGCTAAAATACATGAATAAGGAGAAGAGAAAGACAAACAAGGCTGCTTCAGAACCAGAACCAGTTTCAAACCACCAGGGACCATCTCTGCTGCCAAGAGCTTTGGGTTTGACCCAACCTTTCTGGCTGCTAATTACTCCTAAAGTTTGGTAGAAACTACGTTTGTGGCTCCAGACTGGCGCTGTTCATGGTGTCATAAATTAGAGTGGGAGAGCGGGTTCAAATCAGAACCAAGAGGGCTGCAATGCAGGAAAATTAGGAAACTGTAAACCTGACGGCTTGTTTCTGACAAGGAAAATCCAACATGATTAAATGGAGCAATAACTATACTGATTATTCCTTATTACAGGGTTGAGAGTCCAGTTTAATATACATGCACAAGGGGGCACTGCAGATGGGCTTTGAGTGTGTAAAAATCATTTTATAGTTAAAAAGGGACTTCATTCCTTTTTACTGATTAATTAAATCACCCACAAGCAATCTGAGGGATCATCTGGGTTTGCTGCTACGTCCTCGATGGAGGCGCTGAATCTCCAAATGCAAAAAGATTTTACTCTTTAAATGGGGGATTAAAACTTAAAGTGGTCCTGAAAACAGCCAAAAAAGTTTAAGCTACATGCACCCTGGGGACTGTAGCAAATGAAGGCACTTTTCAACTGGGCTGTTTCATTTCATATAGATAAGGTTCAGTGATTTGATATCCACTTTTGTTAATTCAATTCAATTTAATTCAATTCAGTTTATTTATATAACACCAAATTTACAACACACGTCATCTCAAAGCACTTTACAGTTCAACCAGATCATCCAGTCAAATTGACTCAAAGGTTTCTATCTAAGGAAAACCAGCTGATTGCATCGACTCATTGACTCTTCAGCAATCCCTCACACTAAGCATACTTGTAGCGACAGTGGAGAGGAAAAACTCCCTTTTAACAGGAAGAAACCTCCAGTAGAACCAGGCACAGTGTGAGCGGCCATCTGCTGAGGACGACTGGGGTTCAAGGAGACAGAAGCAGACATACAAAAAGCAGCTGCAGCTGTCCAGGAAACACAGGCAGACGAGCTCCGAGCCAGCTCCCATGTCAGAGCAGATCCAGATCCAGAGCAGATCCAGTTAGTCACATTCAGAGAAACAGGACTACACTGGAAAACAGGCCGATCTCCAGCATCTATAAACAAAGGTGTTAATGGAAGCAGCATAGCTGATGTTCCTCTCCAGGATGGCGTCACAGCCAGACAGGAACAGACGAGGGAAAGCTACTCTGAGGAAAAGCAGAGAGAGCAGAACGTTAGAGATTGAACTAACAGATTGTTACATCCTATCATTGTTACCTGTGGTTTCTTTTATATTCACCAAATATAAAACAAGAACTGTACTTTTTTATGAAACCTGAAAGGGCATAGATGAATTAAATCAATCAAAAAAAAGGAGCAAAAGTAAACTAAATGGCTTTTTATTCTTGAAGGGATTGTTTTGAAATCACATTGTGAATTTATGAGAGCAAATCTCTTCTCAGGATTTAGGGAAACTGTTTCAAAAAATGCATTTAATATTCTGAGTGAGGGACAGAATGGTTTTTCGAACATATAAATACCAAATTGCAGATAAACAAATCCTATAGAGTGGACATTTGATCCTTGATGTGTGCAGAGAATTTGATAAAAAACGACAGCATGAAATCCTGAACTTGACCAATTTCATTTTCTTCTTTAACTAGTAATTATTTACAAAAAAGAAAAAAGCAATACATATATGTATCATATATAATATATATTACAGTTTGTCTGTGTGTTGAACTGATTTTGTTAATGTTTCGTAATTATGTAATAAGGAAAATCTACTACAACCGAAAATGTTCTAATTGCAAGATGACTGCATATTAATTAAACTCTTAACTTTGGTTGTCAGATTAAGTTTCAGCAAATAAGACTTTAATCATTTGCCTGATATATTGTTCTATATTGTTTATTTGCTGTTAGCAGGAAATTAGAATCCAAATTAACTAATATATTTTCTTTTATTTTTTCTTGTAAATTTGTAATAAAAAATGTGTTATCACAAAATGTGTTAAATAAACTGTTAATAATTTACTGTTTTACATATGAATCTCTTTTAACATCTGTTTCAGAGATTATAGATAAAACATGAAACATCTTGACTTCATGGAAAAATCTGTTTTCTGTGCTACAGTTCATTTTCTCATTTTTTTTATAACGTAAAAAGAAAAATGCAAAAGAATGCAGCTGCATAGGGGCCTTTCAGGGGCCCTTCAGGGGCCTCTAAAGCAGCCCCTTCGTTCACCGATGTTGCTCGCATCATTTTAGACCCTGTTAAAACAGTTCGCTTCAGTGACATAATTCACTTTCCTCTCCTTTCTGCTGCTGGTTTGTGCGTTGAGGGGGTCACTTTGTGCCATTTCGTGCTGCAGTCTTAGTGAGTCATCGGTGGAAAAGAGGGAGGAAGATTTGGGGTGAAATATTGCTGTTAAATGAGTCTGGACAGCATGACATCACGGGGTAATTAAAAGCGCTTTCTGGAATTCCGTTCCCAATTCCTGCGCTCAGGTTTGCTGCAGGATCTCTGGAGCACCTGCAGGTTGGTTGGTGTGTGAAATATTTTCACTGGACGGAGTTCAAACTTTTGGAGGAAAAGAGAAAAAACGGAGGCAGCGGCATTACGCCATTCTTGCCTCTCATGGAAGAAAAAAAGTGGGATTTAAAGAAGTTTCTTGCAGATATCCAGCAGAACAGCTCGGTGGAGTTTAACTGGTGTCTGATCTGTTCCTGGCTGGATCTGTCCAGCAGGATGGTTCCTGCTCAAGGCAAATGGAAGAATAAACTTTGCAGGAATTTTGTTTTATTTGCATCTTTTCTTTAAAATGTTTTGTTAATTTTTTTCTGTTTTTGAGAGAATCATTTTTTTTTTCCAGCAGAGCGCAGAGGCTGACCTGGGGATGAAACTTCACAGGACTCTTTCTTCTGTTTTCAGCCAAACTTTTCAGTTAATTCTGAAGTGACTTTCAGCTTTATTACAATGACGGTCTGCCAGCAGGCAACAGGGCTTTAGGATGAACGTTGTAAAGCGTCTTTCTCTCCTGCTCTGCTGCTGGACTCTCATCTACCTGCATCCTGTCCGCGGTTCTCTCAGCCGGACCAGACTCCCCGAACACAGACTTGGGGAGGCGGTGGAGCGCACAGGAGGAGCCCAACGTGGGATCGGGGTGTCTACGCCAGCTGCAGGGAGGCAGCAGAGCCCCGCCGCGGGAAGCTGGAAACCTGCGGCGCGAACCCGCGCAGGACAGCCGCTGATTAAAGAGGAGACGACCCCGAAGAGAAGCAAGCAGGCTGCGGGGTCCCCATCAGGGAACCGAGAGCATCAGCAGCAGCAGCCAAACGGCGCGCTCAACCTGGGGCGTAAAGAGGCTGCGCGCTCCTGGGTCCCCGCTGCCGATGCGCGCTTTAAACCGCACATCTCCGCAGGCATCAACGCACGTGCGGCTGTAGGAAGAGACTCACCGAAAGCCGCTGCCAAGGCGAGCGCAGCGGCTGCTGCGGCGCGCAGCGGCTTTCCACCTGCGGCGCAGCGCGGAGTCACCAACAGGAGGCAGAAACTGGGCGACAAGCAGCCGCTGGTGACCCCTCACGACTACATGCTGTCCCTCTACTGGTCCCTGAGCAGCGGGGACCTGAACAGCAGCGCGCTGCATGAGGCCGGCATGGCCAACACCATCACCAGCTTCGTGGATAAAGGACACGGTAAGAGGCTGGTTCCTTTAACTCTCTTAAGATCAGCTCTAAAACTGTTTATAGCAAAAAACATGTGCTGATACACCCAAAAAGACATGAAAAAAAACTGCTTCATTTTTACCAACTGTAATCTATCCATTTGAATACATTTCAAAGTAATTTATATATTTAAAATCAGTCTATTTCAAGCAAGTAGAAAGTATTTATTGAAGGGAAATTACAGCGGAATCATCTTAGTTTATCTGGACACTTTTGGACAAATATTTCAATAAAAAGCTATAGACTTTATCTCTTCTACTGAGTTCCACTAGTACACTAGTTTTAGGCTAAAATGAGAAAATCAAAAAACTTTAAGATGGAGTTTAAGAGCTATAAAAGATGCGGTCTGATCTGAGCGGCTCTGGAGGGCGAAGAGGAGGATGAGAGGTTGGATGGAGAGAGCGGGTCAACCTGCATTCTGCAGGCTACCAGAGGAGGGCGGTGCTGAGTGTTTAAACTGTTATATTGGAATGGAAAAAACAAACAAACCAACAACAACAAAAATAATATATAGGCCTATATATCAAGACCGACAAGATATAAATATAGGGGGAGTGGCAGCTTAGTGGTTAGGACATGGATTTGGGAATCTAGAAATTCTGATTGTGAGACCCCCTCCCACAGACTGCCACTCTGAGCAAGACCCTTAACCCCAAACTGCTCCCTGCACAATGGCAGCCCACTGCTCCTCAAGGGGATGGGTTAAATGCAGAGAGTACATTTCATTTGCTCTGTACTTGTAACTGTGTATAATAAATAATAAAATGCTGGAAATGGAAAAAAAAAGAAATATAGGATATATACAGAATACATACAAAATTATATATAGAATATATACAGAAGGAATACGGCTATATGTTATAATTTAAGCATTTTTTATTTTATGTTTTTAAAGTCGTAGAGAAGTCATATTTGAAGGTCAAATTATTCTGGCTTAAACATTTTTATAAATGTACTCTTTATCAGACTATGTAGGCTACTCCAAAAATGTAGAAATTGTATTAAAAAAAATGTTTTCGTTATCTTATGCAGGCCAGTTAGTTCTATGTTAGCCTGAACACCTAAATTCGGCCGATCATATATCAACGGTCATCTTTCAATCAAATTTTTTCGATCATAGCAACTTGATTCATATGTCGCAGCTAATTTAGGCAACAGTTGAAATCAGAATGATTTCCTCTCCCATTGAGTTCCGTCCCAGTGTTCACGGGGATGGACGTCTGTGTCTTCAGCAGGCGTAGAGCTAACAGAACTGGCAGCGTTGCGAGGCAAGGGCTCAAACATGTACGGCTGTAAGCCTTCTACACCAAACCAAGCTTCTGCCGCCCTGGCGTCCTCTTCCACAACATCTTCGTCCCCGCTTTGCTCCTCTAAATAAAAAATGGATGACGGAGGAGACTCATCCACGACCTCCGACACTAAACTCTCCTCCTCTTGCATGTTTCCTCTGTCCATAGCGTTCCTTGATAGTGTCGTTTCTAAGTCACCAATTTAGTGCTACTTGGTCCCAATGAAATTTCCCATTGGGAACCTACTAGCACTAAGTTGCTAACTGGTTAGCAAGATGCTTCTCAGAAACCGGCCACAACCAAACTTGCTTGCAAACCCTCCGCGACAACAATCCCGCCCCTTGATAAATGACCATAAACAACGATAAACGGGTGGGGGTGGCGAGTTGTGGCCTTGTGGTTGGAACAGAGCACTTCCATTTTGTATCTGGCTTAAAACCCAAAGCCTGCAACTGTGGCTCTCAAAGCAAAACACTGACTGCTCCCTAAATGTAGAGGTCCAATGTCATAGTAATGTATGTTTGCAGTGAATAACATTGATTATCAATTATTATAAACAAGTGAAGTTTCTTCCTCAATCGTTTTCCAAAATTAGACCTACTAAGCTAAGATATTTCAGCCATGTAAGCTGACTCCCTTTGTTGCTGACAAACAGTATTCTATCTATCAAAGCTTTCCATACACAAGAAGGTTTTTCGTGGATATCTTCCACTCTGGTATCCAGAGGTTCAAGCTTGGTGGGGTAAGCTTTTTTTCAGGTCCAACTATTAAACCACTCAGAAATTGACCCACTACCTGTGGGAAGAGGCATTTAGGAGATGTGAAGTGTGGCTGCTGATCATTATAATCTGGCCATGGACTTAAGGAAAACAAGTTGCTTGCATCAAGTCATTGACTTGCAAGACATGCTCCTCCTGGATGAGCTTGCATTGCAAAGGTTAAACCAACATGAATGATTTAAATACAAACCAAGTAGGGATGCACCCAAATGAAAATTTTGGTTGAAACCAAAAACCAAAAATCCAGAAAAACGAAACACTAAAAGAAATGATGTTACTTATTAGAACCGTAGCATTTTTGGCTACGATGTGTACTTAACGCTCTTAAAAAACTCATATTATTTTTTAAAAAGGATTTTGCTGCATCTGTTTTGTTTCGTCTTGAACTCATGATTGGGGACATCCAACCCTCCACCTCAAAAGGACAGGATTCTGGATTATGGAATTTCAGTTTCCTCAAACCTTTGTCTTCAAAATCCAACATGGCTGCCTTGAGCGTATTAGATGGGCTTAATAAAGCATTTAATTTTGGATTCTTAATAAATCAGTCACAATGGTAGTGGAGCTTTACAGCCTCTGTTGTGTCACTACTGCTGACGTCTTTGGATGGAAAAAAGGAGTGAAGGACGTCGTTAATGGTCATGTTGCTAATAACAACTGCCCTGCTCCCTGAGCACTACAGTAAAGAGATCCTGATGGGTTTTAAATCGTGGGACAGAGCTCAGATTGGACTTGCGTCACTCTAGATCAGAATCTTAACTCACGGCTAAAATATTTAGCTGGTCATTGTCCCAATTACTCCCTCTGCAGAAAGTGGGGCTAGTGAAGCCACTAACCACTAGGGAGCACTCATGATAACAAAGCATACATTTTTGGAGATTCTTTTCCAGATGTGGGTTCATGTTGGAACCTCAGACTATGGTTTATTGAAGCATGTTGTTTTGCATCAGCTGGAACCAGAGCAGACTTTGCTTTTGAAACCAGTCTTCCCAGTGCTTCTGTCTCTGGAGCGGCCCTGGGAACATGTATGTAGAGGTGTGTGTGTGTGTATTTGTTCTCGTCTATTTGTGGATGTACTGCAGACTTTACACGTCTGTGAGTTCCAGCTGCGCGTTTCCAACATCTGGTGGGCTCTCAGCGATATCCGTCTCCAGGAGGGTAAATAAACAGTCCTCCAGGCCCCCTTTGGTGTAATGTTGTCTTTACAGCATAAAACTGTTTAAAACTGTGTTTAATTGACCAGAGTTTAATATTTCTGCTGCTGCTGGAAGGTTTATATTTCCACCACTTAATGCACTTGTAATTTAGGCTTTATTTGTTCAGTGAGTCCTCAGCAGGACGCTGTTGACCTCGTCGACATATTTAAAGAAGAGATTGATCACCCAGAACCTTCTCTTCCTCTTTTATCGTCTTTCCTCATTTCATTTCTGGTTCCTCCTTAATGTCTCATATTTTTATTGTTTATTTTCTTTCTGTCGTTTCTTCCTTTTTCTCTCTCCCATGTTATTATTGTTTTCTTTTCACCACCTGAGTGTCTTTGAAAGGCTTTCTAGGACCCCTTCATGTTGGCACGTACAGCTAACCATTCTGAGGACCTCACTTCTTAAATGAAAAACTCCACCTGGACATATATCCATATAAATCATATTGCTGACCTCTGCCTGCCTGGATTTAACTACTGACTTCACCATAGGAATGTAAACCTGATAATGAAACATATCTACTTGTACTAGAGCTATCTTCCACTGAATAAGACTGTTTAATTAACAATGGGAGAAATAAAAATTCTAAGTTCTAAGTTAAAGAGGAGAAGAGGAGTTCTAAGAATGCATTTTTTTCATCATTCAAATGTGGCTGCAGTCCTATCAGCTGAAGCAACAGCTGAAATTTCAGAAAATGATGAAGATAGAATTGGACCCCACAGTTCTTAGGACATTGGGTCAACAATTGTCCCTTCTGGTAATCACTTTAGGAGCAGAGGAGTACTTAATAAAAATAACAAACTAAAAATACCACCCGTCTTCTAAAAGTCCGAAAAAATGTTCAGAATAATTGAAAAAGTAAAAGTACCAACTATATTTTTACATAAAAAGAAGCGAAACATACATTTTTTTTTTGGTTGTTTTTTCCCCCCTTTACTTCACTTGGTGTAAAAACAACAGTGGTAGAAGTTGTCACTCTAAACATTATTTTTAATCAGTGTCATCCATAAGAACTCACACATAAACCATCATGTTGAACGACACACATCCACAAATATGATGTGTGCATAAGAAACTAAAATTGCAGTAAGAACACAATGAAATGTGAATACTTTTTCTTAGAGAGAAAACAAATAACAAACAATGAAAAAAGACTAAGCATTGTGTCAAAATAAAGACAAAACAAATAAATTTCACTACACTTTAATACCAAAATTCAGAATAGTTTACCGTAACTTAGTTTTATGAGCTTTTAGACCATTATTTAGAATAAGAGATCTCTGAAGACATAAAAGAAATGAATATTTACGTTTTTGAAGAGGGATACTCAATTCAACAACACCAACAACGAAAAATTCCACACAATAATGTGTTGCCTGAATCTGTATATATATATTTACCTACATGAATATATGTAAAAGGGAATTAATTGGAGATAGATTTTTTCCCACCACAGGTGCATTCCCACCAGGATAAACAGAACAAAGTTCTTCTCTTGTTCACATGCAGATTCCATATAAACAAATCCTTTTTAATGAAAAATTGTGATCATATAGAAATGATTAAAAGAACGATTTCAATGTCTCTCAGGTAACAACATGAAATTAAAAGTCTGTATTTAATAAAATACTCGGTTGAGCATAGATCTACAAAAAATAACCGCGATGAAGTAAATGTGTTCAGTTACTGTAAACCTCCGT